GTCTGTATATACATATATATAGTTCATAGTATTTACATACAAATTATGGTTGAGATTAGCCCAATAGGCTCGGAGGAGTTAGGGTGCAAACAAACACACATTTTGTCTGTATTTTATATATATAATATAAAACCAACACTCACTTAATCCTTTCTTCTGCGAAAGTGATGTTGTTTGGTGGAGAGCTGAGTCAGAATTGGTCCTAAAAATTATCATACAGTAAAACAGAGAAAAAAATTAAAACATAATAACTATTTACATACAAAATATTCTATTGTTACTACATTGTTATGACATTAAAATAAAACAATTGATTCATCTTTTTCATATCAGACAAATTTCAATAAATTAATCATTTAATAAAGAACTTTAAATATTGTGTTTAACTAAAAAAACATTACTTACAGAAACCAATCAATGACAAGTTTTCTATGTCTTATTTTTTATTGCATTAAATACTTCAAAAAAAGTTAGGGAGTTGTAACATTAATTTTTTAAACTGTTCTTAAAAAAAACCTTCAGTTAAAAAAATTAAATTTCCAATTCCCAAACTAGAACTATCTTTTTTTAAATAAGTTATTTCTATACCAATAAACTTGCAAAAGGTATAAAAATGTAAAACCCCAATAAAAATTCTGAAGTTTGTTTACAGCTAATCAGCATTTGGGTTCTGTAAAATTATGTTAAACTCTGAGTTAGCAAATCATCAAGATTTACTGTATAATATATAACCGAACAAAATACTGACAAGTACCAGATCATTGAAATATGGTCATTAAGTGTTGAGTTCTGTATTACAGACAGTTCAAAATGTTTTACAACCATTGTTTCAGCAATGTGTGTTGTCCATTATAATATGTCCTTTTTTTTAAGCTGTATTCCCTGACGTCCACTATAGAACCATAAAGAATTAAACATCAATATCATAAAAAAATCAAATAGTTTTTGTCTCACTATGTAGAGAGGAAAGGTTTAAAACAAATTCCACTAGATAACCGAATTAACTACTAACTAAGTTGTAAACAACTTGTCACTCTTTACAGTAACATTTCATTAGCTACAACTGTCTGGAATTTCTAGGCATACCTGAGCTTTCTTTTTATGTAGAAGCTATAAATTTTTTTTTCAAAAGGCTGATATAATGAAATGGATTATTAAGTTCCAAACTTCTAGTGATTTCTGCTTCTAGAACTCAACAAAAAGCTAAGTACACTCTTTGTCCTAACACAGATACCTTTGCAACTGCTACACCCAAAAATGCCCAGAATAATATTTCCCAGGTGAACCAGCGTATTTTATGCCCCAAATCCGAAATTTTTTTCTCCCCATACAGTATTTTTTGGTGCAGAAATCAGGCCTTAAAGTCAAGAACTATAACCATTAAGAATATACTGTGAGATCCCCATCCTCCTTGTAAATAAGCCAGCATGATCTGGTGGTCAAAGTTGGCATGTTTCGTTGTAAAAGTTGAAAGATTTTTTTATAAAACTTTGGACAAAATTTATTGACTATGTCAAATAAAATACTTTTTAAAATTCAAATAGTTTTTCGATTCGAATTCAGGTGATGAAAATACACCAGTGAAATATTATACCTCAGACATTTTAGGATGTGACAATTGTTGAACTATCTATGTCAGTATAAAAAAATCTAAGTAAATAATGTTGTGAAACATAGTTTCACTTTTAACATTAAACCACACGTAGGTATAACATTACCTTCGCCAGTTAGTATCTGAAGGTAACGATAAATACGTTTGGCCTCCACTTGTCAATACAAAATCATTCATCTGAAACAAAATAATATAAAGTATACTTTTCTCCATTTTCAATTTAAGTAATCCTATTCTTTAAACTTTAGATAAACATACAACCAAAGGTGTGTCAACATAATATTTAAACTCAACCACTGAAATGTGTGTATGGTAACTTCTGTAATGTTATACTAGTTGTTTATACATTTCTCTCAGCAGCTTTTGCACAACTTTTGCTGAATATCAAGTAATAAAGAGCAAAAATTTATACTTATTTAATCAGTTCAAGATAATCTAATTTGGTCTTCAACATGCCTTGGTAGTAAATCAAACTTTACATCCACCATATAAATGGTAATAAAAGTTCAAAATATAAATGTATGTTGTCTGCTCTGCCTAGGATAATGAGTAAACTTAAAAGAGTTTAACCTCACTTCTATTAAAGACATCTGAAATCTTTCACCTTTCACAAGTCTTATACATCAGAATCCTTCTACCTGAAACAATCCAGATGTACAGGAGTACCAAAAACCCATTCTTCCTAGAGAAAATCTTCTGGATCTTATTGTTTGACTGAGTACATTATTTTCCATTTAAAGAAACCATATAGTTGAATCATTAAAATTTCCACCACACACATGTTGGGCAGTAATGTAACTAACTATGAACATGGGGACCCCCCTGTAAAAATTCATAAAAGCCCCTGCCCCAAAAATATAAGTACAGAATAAATTAAATTCATTATCTAGCTACTCCCACCATTTCAGTCTCTCCTGCACAGTAATTACACCACTGATGTTGAGGGAGAGATAACAATATTCATAGTACCTAATTATCTACCTGAGGAAGTACGGAGAAATACTGAAAGAAAAGTCATTTCATTTATTTACCAGGAGAATCTTTGTTGGGACAGATTTTTAGATGTTCAGATACTACTACTCTTTAACACAATTAGCTGGAGCACTTAAAGGGTAAAAAACATAAGGTCAGTCAGACAAAGCATCTGGAAAGTGTAACAAGGAGAAAAAAATCTCACATGAAAAGATTTAAAGACAGAAATATTTCAAGAAAACAATCAGAAGGTAATTCATGTACAATATAAAGCATGTAAGTTATAGTAAAAATGTAATCCTTAAACCTAATTAATGTAAACATCCTAAGCCTAAATAAACAGATTGGAAAAGATTAGAATTCTTTCCAGCCTTTATGTACATGTTTAAATGCAACTATAGTGTTAGGGTTAATATCAGGAATAACACAGCACCATTCTACAGAGGTGTATGAGTTATATAATTTTATTATATTCTATTTCAAGCTATCATAGAAATTATACACAGACATAGCAAAATAATTTCCCTACAATTCGACTAAAGTGACACAAGATAAATACATGAATAATGTTTTGAGTTTTCTTTCACTAAATACAGTGAACCTATGTTTACATAGGATTTGAAGAATATAAAGCAATGATGCTACTAATATATTTTGAATTATAGCAATCACTACTTACCACCAACATTTAATGAACCAATCTCTCACAATAACTACCTAAAAAATTATAGATTGAATCAAAATCCTAACTAAACTCTAATAAACAATGCAAAAGGTGATTATTTAATAATACACATTTAGATGTTAATTTTTCATGAAAGAGTTTTCACTCAAAATTATTATGGATCTCTTGTATTTTTTTTGTGCTTGCACCCCTTGGAACAACAATGATAATTAATCAATGCTTTTTTGCTCGTCTGGTATAACTCAGTGATAAGTGGTAAATCAACCAGTACATTGGGCTTTTTACTTATTTCTAATATTTTGAATGGACGACAAATATTCCCTTCCAATTACAAAAGTTCAAATTATTTTAATTATATCACACATCTAAACATGAAAATAACTATTCTAAAATTTAAGAATTACTTATGATACCATACTTACCTACAAATAAATCCTCATCAACTCAAATGGTGATTCCTAAAAACTAGAAATTCTTTATTCTAAATACTTATTCTTAACCTTCCCCCCCCCACTCCCCCATGAATGATTTTATAACACTGCTGGAATAAGTCACTGTGTTAGGTTGTGTTCACCAAAATAAATATTTGCTAAAAACAGAATTGAAAATAGTCTAAAGAACAACTGTGTGTGATAAAATCATAAGGATACACTAACTTTGCCACACAAATAAACAAACTCAACCTTCTTTTATAGAAGCTTAAGTGATGCCATACTTTCTTTGCCAATCAGCTTGAAACTTTTTCTAAAAGAGTAAAAACATAAACATATTGTGGTGAAGTCTGGAAATAGAACTGTTAAAAATGAAAAGTTAATAATTATTGATATATATTACTTAGAAGTCCAGTGAATTTGTTACATTAACTTATCACATACCATGAGAAACTTTTTTAAGTCTTGTCTTCACCACTACTTGATTTGTTGAAAAGCTAGAAAGCTATAATTAATGTAAAATTAGATAAACAATATCATTTGGTAAAAGTAATGGAAATTATCGTATCAGTCAAAGTTAAAAAATAATAAAGTTAATATTATAAAACACAAAACTAGTAACGTTGTATTACGAAATATGTGAAAAGTGCTGATAAACCACACCAGAAGTACAACTGGCTGGCAAGTTTAATCAAAATTTCTCAAATAAAATCCCACGATTAAAACCAAGTTGATCAATCATAAAGTTGCTCTTTTAAATTTATTAACTGTACCTACTTCATTACATTACCACACATGATGTAAAATCATCAAAAAGGTAGTTGTTAATGCAGTGATGCATATATATTATTTATATTCATTAATACCAGAGAAAAGTTTTCCTCACATCAAATCTTTTCAAACAATATTCATGCCCCACATTACCTGTTTATCAATTCCAATTTGTCTTAACCCATGCAAAGAAAATTGCCTAATTCTATCTACTTCCATTCTGTCACTCAGAAGATCACACCCTTGTTTAACATCGTCCATTCTTACTATCGCTCCCTGTAAAATATGTTAAAACAATAATGTTACTGTAGAAAGTTTTCTTCTATCGATACTAAACACCACACTAAAAAAAAGCTAGCTATCTTCTTACAATTCCTTTTGTGTTAAACACATGATATAATAACAGCTAGGCTGTATTTATACATATATACTTTTAACACTTTAGCCAGTTATTTTAACTATATTTATTGCATCTTTGGTTGTTAAATGTCAATGAGATTTGTGAGAGTTAAAAATAAAATATCCTTGCTATGCCTTTGTAAGGCACATAGGTCTGCTGCTCCATGAATATCTGGAGTCAGAGTGTGACTCAGACTCTGATTAGTTTTGAGTGCAAAGTGATTTTTACGTTAAGACTAGCATATAGCTTGTCAAAAATGATGGGGCAAGTACTACCATCCCCACCCCATAATATACCATAACCTCACATTTCACATAACCTCACATATGAAATAAATAAAGTTTACAAAAACAAGCTTGACCAACAATTAGACAGAAAAGTGCAGTTGAGGCAGTCAAATGTCAGTAAATTCCTTTGTGAGCCAATCAAAATTAAGATCATTCATGAAATGAATTCATGGTGTATTCATACAATAATTACTGGTAAAAATAAGTTATATTAACAACTTCTAATACATAGAAAAGCCAAAGCATTTTAATAATGTGACATTCCAACAATGGCTTTTATGTCATGACACTTAGCAACAAAAGTATAACCTAATATTGTTGTTAGTCTATATACAGAAAGTACAAAATGAAATGTATAAACAACAAAACTGGAAAAATATTTGTTGATTTCTTAATTTAGTGTCTCTGTTGATTAAAGAGGTTTGTTTTTTAACAAAAATTGTTGGTGATATAATAGAAAATGGCTTAATTCAGAAACAATTAAAATTTAAAACTGAATCAATATTTTTACTTTCATCATACATGTTATGCACTAGACTCTAGGCTAGGTGATCCCACACTACATCTTTACTTTAGGCTTATTATACGAACACTCATTACACTTGTAAGGTTTTATGGCACACACTCCTTCATGGATCCCTTGCACCCCCTTCACTAAAATCGTACTGGCCAGACAGTAATAGAACTGTTCTATCTGGATAAATGCATTTTTGGATTTTATGACTCCTCCTATACTGAGAAATCACACACTGGCTTTTATAGAGGTTATAGATCAAAAACACTTTGATCCTACAGATTTAAAATTTCATTTACGAAACACCTAAAACCTACTATATGAATATCAAATGTTTTTATTCAGTAAAACTTCATATTTTATCTGTTATTTTCCTTACCCTAACACCATACACACTCAGTTGATTTGACCAACATTGTAACCACTACAAAAAAAAATGAAATAAATCTAAATTGCCCCTTTTTTCTAGAATGACTGTAAACTGTAACATAAAATTACAATTATTTATCCTAAACAGCTTAAGGCTTTTAAAAGTTTAAAATTTGTTTTCATTTAAACTAATTTATCTTATTTCTCCTTAACTTGAAGCTAACTAATAATTCATAATAAAAGCTGTAAATCATACATTGAACGAGTAGCTCAAGTTACAGTATTGAATTAATAATGCACAATCAACCGACGAGCATACCTTATGGTGAAATTATTTTCATTACTTAACCTAATATAACCTAACAAGTTTCTAATTTTTACATTATAGTTACTTAAGCCTACTTCATTTGTAATGATAGTGCTAGAACATTAAACAATTTTAATTATTTTAAATATGTCCTTAAGAACACAAAATAATAACACAAACAAAGCAAATCACATCCTATAACATAATTCTCTTAGCTGCTGTATCTGAACTCAGGAATAGAAAATTATAATTTGTAGACAAAATAACGAAAACTCTCTACTGAAAACAAGGTAGCATTACATATTATTTGGTAAATTAAAAACTCTGTATTTCTATTGTTTATATAAAATGTATTAGCAGGTATCAGAGAATTACTGACAATTTATGAAAGAAAAATTGTGATAGGTGGGTGTGGCAAATGAGACTGATTTTCAGGTTTATATCTCTATAAACAAAGATTGAAGGCTATTAAAGTTTGACTACGCCTTAGTAATATCTACACTATAATGAGCAATTTACATTAAACTCAGGACAACAGAGAAGGGTGATGAATAAATAAGAAAAAATGAGCAAGCAGGAGCAGACAAATGTCAAGATACACATACAAGAGATTGAAAATTTATTCAAATATTTCCTTCTAAAATTAAGAAATTAAAACTTATATAATACTAAACTTTAATTCAGTAATTACATTTTGATGCCATATCTCTTTGTATGCACTGATAATAAAGTACTTTAATTAATTTTGAATGTAACTGTACAAGGTCGTAACATGCATGTTTTTGCTTCGCCGTATCGAGAAGGTTAATAGTTTCACAATATGGGCCATTTAACATTTTCTAAAATTGGTAATAATTGCCCCCTAAGAATGTATAGTATGGTTATAACAACAAATTAAATGCACCAACTGAAGTTTGTAAAATCAGTAAAGAATTGCAAAGTCTCTGATTATACTTACTCTATGGAAAAATAGTCTAGTTAAAAATGTAAAAAAGACCCAAATGAAAAATTAATAAAAACTACTTAAAAGAGGGAAAAAAATCCCTGATTCAAATAATGTACAAGTTGCACATTTCTTTCAACATCAGTGATATGGCAATATATATATATACTGTAAAACACAATTCCATATTTACATGATGATAAACCATTTTAATTATGATACAACTAAACTTTTTCACACCTGCTGCTCAGCATCACCAGAGCTGTTGCTTATCTGGTTAACATTTGGTAGAGAACCTCCTCTATATGATCCTAGCGATTGGTTAATCAACAGCTGTTGTTTCTGATAAACAACCTGAAATTAATTAAACAAAATATTTCATTTACACATCATAATTATTTACTTTTTTTCTAAAACTAAGATTTTGGGAACACGTCTCAATTTTCACAAGGAGAAAATGTTTCACTATTTAAAACTATTAAAACAAATACAATAACTCAACAGCTGTTTTTTTGTATCAAATCCACACACTGTTTTCTAGGGTGTTTGTTAAAGTTTTAAGTGTTTTTATAAATAATTAACTATGTTCTAAAACTTTTTAAACACCTTTAAGCCAACACATAGAATTCTGTAGATATTTTACTTATATTTTAAACCTGTTCTTCTCATATGTGGTTTCTCTCAGGGGTTCTTTAAGCCTGTACTTAACACTTAATCAGTTGGAAGATGTATTATCCACATTAGGTAATCCTAGAGGTCTGGATTTAGCACAAGAACACAAAACGAAACAAAGTATTTGTCAAGGTACAACTGATAACAAAAGTAGAACAAAAATAAAAACATTTGTCTAACACAACATTTAAGGAAAACAAAGGGCCTGTTGGTCCAAGGAGGCTGTCATTGATCCAAGGAGGCTGTCGTTGGTCCAAGGAGGCTGTCCCATCCATTTAAGGAAAACAAATTCAAACCTAGCTCCGATGATTTAAATATTAAACTACGTTAAATGTATTGCATCTACTATTCCAAAGGCTAAACACCCTATTAGAAACATCTAGGCTAAAGATGACTCTTACCCTTAACTTTATATTTGTTTCTCTTTTTTCCTACCATTCTCACCATTAAATAGGAAAAAATATGATGAATTGATTAATCAATTCCCTCAATAATCTTGAACACCTCAACATGGGCATCTGCAGAAACTTTTCAGTGAGGGGAGTGGGAAGCAAAGTAGTGTGAAATTGTGAATTGAATAAAAAATTCACATACATATGCTGAATGAATAAAGATATAATTATGCTTCTCATTTTCCGGATGAGGACAAGTGCCCCCTCTAACTCTTCTGTTTTCAATAGAAACAATTTCAGAGATATTAACCTGTCCTTGTATGACAATCTTTTCATACCAGATATCATTATAACCAAAATTGTATTGTTCCTCATCTCCATATACAATAAAACATCAAATCTAATTGAGTAATGATCACTTGCACGTAGATGTTCCCCAATTTCCACTTTCTCGACTATTTTTGTATAATAAATTAACAATAAATCTAAAACAGCATAATTCCTTTTTTTTTTTTGTTATCTTGAGAAGAATTTTTTCCTGTTCCTTTAGACAGAATGACCAATGTTCAATATATTGAAAGAGACAGAACTTATGAAAAAAGCTCCAGTTTCAATAATAAAAACAAAGGACAACACAAACTTTGGAAGCATAACTGTCCTTAATTTTGAAATGATAGAATAGTTGGAAGGTACCCACCACTAACTCTTGGAATATTCTTCTCAACTCAAAAAGTGGGATTTGACCAACACATATAATGCACCCACAGCCCCAAAGTACATAGGATGATTTCTTTGGCAGTAACATGATGTGAACCACAGCCAACCTACAAACAACTGGGTCACGATCACTTGCAAAATGTCAGAAATCATGACCACGGTCCTAGGGGAAAAGGCTGTATCTCATAACTCTTTCAATCTTAAAATGCCTTCTTATAGGACAATTTCACAGTTTTATAGAAGAAATAAAATAAACCATATCAGTTCAAGTCTCGCCAAAAATTTAATAAGACAAAAAAATGCTTTAAGCATTTTTGGAAGAAAAATAATCACAGGGAGTTGAATTACTGAATTTAAGAAACACTAATAGACACAGCAGTTTAAACAATTTAATTTTGAGCATGTGCAAGCTTAAATTCCAAACTAGTTGTAAACACAGAGAAATTGCATTACATATAACTAAAATATGCTACAGTTTGAAAAAATCAACTGCACATATCACAATCATAAATGCATACATTTTAGTGAAACAGGGGTACATGTACACTGTACTCTGCTCAGCATGTGCTAACACATGTGCAACAGGAATGTCATTGTCAAGCACCTTATACACAGTTGTATACACAGAATAATGGATGCCACTATAAGTTGGTATATGGAAAGTGGCAGAAGTAACATTTATTGAGACTGCTCAATCTGTTACAAGTTGTATGTGTAGACAGAGTGTTTAATCCAAACTTATACCAGGTTTTTTGAGTGCCTTTTCCAAGTCACCTATATTATGATTCTTTTGTTTTGTTGACTGTCCATTGGATGAAATTTTAACACTGTATAGTCTTCATCATACTTTGCTGTTTATATAGAAATTTGTATTGACCTTATATGACCAGGATATTAAAAGGTTTAATGTTCTTTTTTTAATTTTTGGTTATAAATGTTTAAGTGTATTTACAAGATTTTGAGTTGCAGATGAACATACTTGCATTTTCTCCTGGTAGTGATAAGGTTTTGTGGTTTAATTAATAAATAATGTACCAACTCAAACCAGAACTAGGTCACAATTAGTAATGAACCAGAACTATCTGTCACAACCAGCAATGAATCATTTAGGATTTTTGGAAGAGATGAACCTCCCCTTTTTTCCTTCTCCTCTATCTTTTTTTTTTTTTAGTATAAATTCTTTGTGATAGGTAAGAATATTATAGTTCAGAATATAAAAAAAAGAACACAATTCCACTGTATTATGACCCTACTTAACTCCAGAATACTGGCTACATCTATCTCAGATTTCATTTATACATTCTTTAACTGTCTATAGCAGGAAAAGAAAGGTTTTCTCTTTCAATAATATTTTTACATAAGCCCAGGATCATTTCTTAGAAGGATGAACAATTTTAATTCACTAGTTGGTAAATAGCTTTCCAGTCAAAAGATAAATTTTGGTGGGTGTGAACATTTACCACATGGTACAAAGTATATTAGGAAAGCAACAGATAAAAGACAAATTAACAAAAATAATATAAACTCATCAGATGATTTCTTGAGACTAAACAATCTCAGAAAATTAGCATTTAAATGTAAAACACACTATTAAAAGATCTTCAATTATGAACTAAGATTGTTAATGACAAAAGAAACTACGAAGAACTTTAATCGAAGCACAAGACTCTTGTATAAGATCTTGATTTTGATGCAATAATAAAAGACAACTAGAGTGACTATTACAATTATGTAGATTCTAACCATGATCAAATAAACCAAAAGAAGTAGCACTCATGTTTTACACATGTATGGCCTAAGTGTTTTGCAAAATCCTGAATAGTAGCTTTTTAGTGTAAATAGTTGAGAAAGAAGTAACCAACTATATTTCAAAAATGGTGCTAACTTCCCTGTCCAATTAATTTTTAGGCAACAAAAGTATTAATTTTTCAAAGCAAAAAGGATATCAGTAATATCTGATATGTAATAGTTACTAACGTATCTAATAGTAAAAAAAAACAGCAAATAGTACAAAGCTTTTAGTAAACTTTCAGGAAAAATTAATGTAGTATATTGTACTTACACTACAGACTACAAAGCATACGAAGAATGTTGAAGCAACTACAGGTATATTTTAGCTAATAAAGTTAACAACAACAAAAAACAAAGGAATTTCATAGAAAACAAGATACCCTGTAATGCAAGTTAAATTAAAATGAGTTTACACAACAAAACAAAAAACAAGTCATGCAACAACTTAAAACCAAGTTTCATGTACATGAGTGATCATGTTTGAAGTTTGTTACTAAATATTAGTTAAAAAGTATATGTAAAGTCAGTTGAAAATACGATAAACAGGAAATAATGAACTTAAAATAAAAGAATCTGGTTTCAGGATTGAAATCTTAGATATCACATATATATATTTGCAATCACTGAATCATACCTGTACTGCTGTTAATAAATACAAATCTCCATAGAATCAACCAATAATACACTTAATAACAAAAACAAATTCCTGTTAAAAACAATTAATATTTAAAACCTAAAAGAAGAAAACTCAAACTCAATAGTTGTAAATTTTAAGGGTAATTTTCTGTCATTTTTCATGTTTAAAATATTTTAGTTGTCATGAATGTATGGGTTTTTTTAATAAGTATTTTAATACTGAGTAACTGTTAATAATACGAATGTCAGTTCTGATAGAATATAATGTATAACAGCAAGAACTGAAATTTATGGACACAATAATATTATAATAAACAATGTGAAACATAGCTCTCTACTTACTGGTATGATAAGCCTCACTAATGTAAAAATTTTAGACTAACAGGAACTTAAAATTGGATTTAAAGTTAAATTCGATCCAATTACTAATAATGATAAATCATTATTAATCTAAATTAATTTGGTGGCTTACAAATTTCACCCAAAAAACATTTGATCCAAGACTTGGTTTCTATGTGACAAAAATATCAATTATCATATGTTTTACTTTTAGGCACATTTAATATGATTGATATTAAACGAAAATTATCAGCATAGTTAAGTTACTGAGTAATGGACAAGTTATTACAAAAATAAAAAAGGTACAAAAAAAGTTGCAATTAGGTACTAATAGCACTGAGAGTCTGGTATTATTATTATTGTGTCTTACATACTCAAAAGTCTACATATTTTAGGCTACTCATATACTCAATATAATTTAAAAATGTACATCATGTGGTTGGTTAACGTCACAAGACTGTGAATCTGTCAAGTATGGTATAATATTAATTAACAGTGTCACTGACAACGCTACTGTCATTGTGTATCAGTTTAAAACTATAATTTATATTTGTATAGATAACATTAACACTGTTAGTGTTATTAACAGTTCAGTAAAGTTATCCTTTAAATTCTTGTTTAAGTTGGGAACCATGTATAGATGTTTCATTAAAAATATCAAACTATTACGGGACCTATGAGTATGATTCACTATTTCGAACTTAGTTCTAACTTTTAAGTTACCCGTTTCGCTCCGAGAACTTCCCGCATAACTTGTTCAAACGCAGCAGTCTCCTCTGCCTGTTTCTGATTGTGAAGTGCAATCTTCTCACTAAATTTTCTTGGATTTGCCATTACATTACGTCTACCTTTATAGTATGTCTATCTGATTTGCTTATGTGTAAATTAAAGTTTCATTCCTTCGTGAAATACATTTCAAACAATAGTCACTATCAAATTCAACAATAATCCGTACTTAACATCATAAACGACAACAACATCTTTGCAGTGAGAACCGACAGTGACACCTGGTGGAGTAAAGTTGTGCAATAAACTAAATATTGTGGGAAATACCATTTAAAAATGGTGATGTGGTGTGGAGACAATTTAGCAATATATTTTCCATGATTTTAAATTATCTCTAAATCACTAAGAATTCTTATAATATTATCACATGATAAACAATTTAGTTTTTCAATATAATTTCTTTTCTTTTTTTCTATTCTTCCTAAAAGAGTAAACATTATTTCACTTGAAACGAAAACGGGTATTAATTGCTTCATTCTAAGTAGCAATACTTATTTCAAAATTTCGTATTGCAGTATAGTTGTATATAACAAAGCTATTGGAAGAACAACATAATACCATGACTGCATATTTCTGCTTATCACCTTTTTTTACTTATTATCCTTTGGATTAGAAATCTTAACTACATAAACAAAGAACCCCCAGTGGCTCAGTGCTAAAAATCGAGTTTCGGTCTGCGCACAACACATATACCACAATTTTAAGCTTAACAATAATCAAACAAACATAAATAAAGTAAGTCTAGAACAGTGGTCACCAAACGTTTTTCACAGCGGGCTAGATAACTGAG